TGACGACACTGGAGGACAGGAGAGATAGGGGGGACATGATAACGACATACAAAATACTGAGAGGAATTGACAAGGTGGACAAAGACAGGATGTTCCAGAGATTGGACACAGTAATAAGGGGACACAGTTGGAAGTTGAAGACACAGATGAATCACAGGGATTTTAGGAAGTATTTCTTCAGCCACAGAGTAGTCAGTAAGTGGAATAGTTGGGAAGCGATGTAGTGGAGGCAGGGTTCCATACATAGCTTTAAGCAGAGGTATGATAAAGCTCATGGTTCAGGGAGAGTGACCTAGTACGACACAGTGAAGAGGCGGGGCCAGGAGCTTGGACTCGACCCCATGCAACCTCAACTAGGTGAGGTGAGACACACACAACACACACACCACACCACACACAACACACACACAACCACACACACACACACACACACACACACACACAACACACACACACACACACACACACACACACACACACACACACACACACACACACACAAACACACACACACACACACACACAACACACACACAACACACACACACACACACACACACACACACACACACACACACACACACAAACACACACACACACACACACACACACACACACACACACACACACACACACACACACACACACACAAAGTGCCTGATCAAAACATTTTTAGAAACTAGAGAAAGTGCAGAGATTTGCAAGAGAACTAGTCCAGTAACTAGGGAAGAGCTGACAAGACGGGCAACTCAAACTAAACTGAATGACTTTACTGGACAGAGGTACGGGGAGATATGATTTCGATTCTTATGACCAGAGTCTTTGGTAAGATGGGTAAGATAGAAGGATGGGTAGGGATAGATATATTGGAAAAGGGTGGGAGGGGGAGTGAGGTAGGATATAAAAGGTAAGTGGCCAAAGAGACGATAGCAACATGCAAAATTTTCACATGAGTTGACAGGGTTGACTGGAAGAAAGATTTCGAGAGGCGGGAAAGAGGTACACGAGGGCACAGGAGGAGTTTAAAGTCACAGATTACTCACAGGGATGATAGGAAGTATTTCTTCAGCCTCATGGTGGCCAGGAAGTGGACGGACAAGTGTTAGAGGCAGAAGGAAGGCTTCGTATGTAGTTTTAAGGCTAGGTATGACCGGGCGCAGGAGGCTAGTAGGACTAGGAGCTGAGACTCGACCCCCTGCAACCATAAGTAAGCAGGTTAATGGAAATTATTTAGTACAAATAGTTGAGTACGAACAGGTGAGTACATAAGAAGAGTAGTGAATGGAAAGAGAAGAGAAAATAAAAGAAGAAAGATGGAAGAAAGAAGAAATATAAATGGAAAATACAGTACTGTAAAGAGAGAGAGAGAGAGAGGGAGAGAAGAGAGAAGAGAGAGAGGGGAGAGAGAGAAAAGAGAGAGAGAGAGAGAGAGAGAGAAAGAGAGAGGAATGTGTGTGTGTGGTTGTACTAACCCATTTCCGGTTGCAGGGGTCGATTCACAGCTCCTGGGCCCGCCTCTTCACTGAGATATCGGAATGCTGTTCTTAGGTTTGCCAGGCGTCCATATGTTGCAGCAGTTATCTGGTTGATGTGCGCCTCAGGAGATGTGCTCGGTGTTATACTCACCCCAAGATCTTTTTCCTTGAGTGAGGTTTGCAGTCTTTGGTCCCCTAGACTGTACTTTGCCTGTGGTCTTCTTTGCCCTTCCCCGATCTTCATGACTTTGCACTTGGTGGGGTTAAACTCCAGGAGTCAGCTGCTGCACCAGGTCTGTAGCCTGTCCAGATCCCTTTCTAGTTCTGCCTGATCCTCATCCACTTGAATTCTTCGCATTAGCTTCACATCGTGTACAGACAAGGACACCTCTGAACGTATCGCTTCCGTCATGTCATTCACATATACCAGAAACAACACAGGTCCTAGGGCTGACCCCTGTGGGACCCCGCTCGTCACAGGCGCCCACTCTGACACCTCGTCACATACCATCACTCACTGATGTCTTCCTGTCAGGTATTCTCTGATCCATTGCAATGCCTTCCCTGTTACACCTGCCTGGTCCTCCAGCTTCTGCACTAATCTTTTGAGCGGAACTGTGTCGAAAGCCTTGTTACATACCAAGAAAATATAATCTACCCAACCCTCTCTCTCTTGCCTTACTCCAGTAGGTTAGTGACACGATTTCCCTTCCCGAAACAGTGCTGGTTATCGTGTATAAACTCATTCTTTCTAGGTGCTCCACCACTCTTCTCATGATAATCTTCTCAATGACTTTGCATACTATACATGTCAGTGACAGTGGGCTGTAGTTTTGTGCTGTCTGTCTGTCTCCTTTCTTAAAACTTGGGACTAAATTTGCTGTCTTCCACACCTCAGGTAGTCGCCCAGTTTTGATAGATGTGTTGCCAGTGGCACACATAGCGCCTCTGCTCCCTCTCTCAGGACCCACGGAGAGATGTTCGGTCCCACTGCCTTGAGGTATCTAATTCACTTAGAAATCTCTTCACATCCTCCTCTTCTGTGTGTAGTGTATCCAGCACTTGCTGGTGCACCCTTCCATTCCGGCTTTCTGAACTCCTTTCTGGCTCTACTGTCTGTGTGTGTGTGTGTGTGTGTGCTCAATCACTAAAATCACACGATAACTACACTTAATACTACTACTACTACTACTACTACTACTACTACTAATAATAATAATAATAATAATAATAATAATAATAATAATAATAATAATAATAAATCTCTGGTTACAAAACTCGTAAGAGGTCAAAAATAAAAATGAATTTCTGACCTTTCAGCTTGTTGACCTTTCAGTGACCCAGGTGACCTTTCCTGTGTTGAAATGACTAATGACCTGCATGCTTGTACTCGCCTAGTTCTACTTAGGTGTACTGAGATGTACTAGACAAACAGCACTGTCATTTAGAATAGTGTAGCAACACTGCTGGTGTTCCCACTTACATGACATTCCCAACCATCCTTCAGAGTGCAGGCACTGTGCTTTCCACCTCCAGGACTCAAGTCCTGCCAACTAGTGTCCCTGAATCCCTTCATAAATGCTACCATGCCGGCAAGCCCCTTGTATGCACTCCGCTCTAACACGCTCACACAAGCCTGCTGGATGTCCAAGCCCCTCTCACACAAAACCTTTACCCCCTCCTTCCTTCCCTCGATCCCCTACCCCTCCTTCCTTCATCCCAAGTCTTATACACCCTCATTGTCATCCTATTCTGCTCCAACATCTCTATATGCTGAAAACAATAATAATTATAGCAACTTTTGAAACAACCACAACTGAAACAACCACAACTGAAACAACCACAACTGAAACAACCACAACTGAAACAACCACAACTGAAACAACCACAACTGAAACAACCACAACTGAAACAACCACAACTGAAACAACCACAACTGAAACAACCACAACTGAAACAACCACAACTGAAACAACCACAACTGAAACAACCACAACTGAAACAACCACACCTGAAACAACCACAACTGAAACAACCACAACTGAAACAACACACTGAAACAACCACAACCGAAACAACACAACTGAAACAACCACAACTGAACAACCATAACTGAAACAACCACACCGAAACAACCACAACTGAAACAACCACAACTGAAACAACCACAACTGAAACAACCACAACTGAAACAACCACAACTGAAACAACCACAACTGAAACAACCATAACTGAAACAACCACAACTGAAACAACCACAACTGAAACAACCACAACTGAAACAACCACACCTGAAACAACCACAACTGAAACAACCACAACTGAAACAACCACAACTGAAACAACCACAACTGAAACAACCACAACTGAAACAACCACAACTGAAACAACCACAACTGAAACAACCATAACTGAAACAACCACAACTGAAACAACCACAACCGAAACAACCACAACTGAAACAACCACACCTGAAACAACCACAACTGAAACAACCACAACTGAAACAACCACAACTGAAACAACCACACCTGAAACAACCACAATTGAAACAACCACAACTGAAACAACCACAACTGAAACAGCCACAACTGAAACAACCACAACTGAAACAACCACAACTGAAACAACCATAACTGAAACAACCACAACTGAAACAACCACAACCGAAACAACCACAACTGAAACAACCACACCTGAAACAACCACAACTGAAACAACCACAACTGAAACAACCACAACTGAAACAACCACACCTGAAACAACCACAACCGAAACAACCACAACTGAAACAACCACAACTGAAACAGCCACAACTGAAACAACCACAACTGAAACAACCACAGTTGCAGGTTGGCACTGGAGTTAGAGTGGACGTTAGGTCAATGGGTATAGCTAGCACTCAGGTGAGTGAAGGTGGGGCACTGGCTACCCAGGGAGGGGCAGGGAGGGGTGAAAGGTGAGAGAGAGAGGGGAGAAAGGGGAGGGGAGGGAGGGAGGGAGGGAAACGAGGGTGATATGACCGGAAAAATTGTGAGAGGGCAAAAAGTGACCCGAAATTGACCTGAAAGATCGTCCAGGTGTGTGTACTCACCTAATTGTGGTTACAGCGGTCGATTCATAGCTCCTGGCCCCTCCTGTGTGTGTGTTTACCTACTTACCTGTCAGCAGGTGTCATTAAGCACTAATCAGCAGGCTGAGCTGACAATCTTTTCTTAATTAACTATGTGCTGATAGATGTCAGCTTGTGTCTGACGTCTTAAAACGTTATTCTTTTTCCATCTTGTATTGATAAAGTCACTGGATGGGCGAAACGTCTACAAATAAATATACCTACATGTTGCATATGTGTCTAATTCTTTATATTGTCGGTATTGTCTACCATTAATACACAACCTGTGTCTACATCCAGTACCTCTGCAATACCAGCTTTAACTGATGGCTTAACCTGCTTAGCATGGACCAGTAGACCTCCTGCAGTGCTCCTTCCTTCTCATACTCCTCTGCCGGTCGTTTTCCAGGTGTGGGTGACAGTGGTGGTTGTGATGGTCACAACTTCACATATACAAGCACAGTTTAGATTCCCCGAACTGCCATCACCCCCTGAAATATTCTTCGGAGCCTTCAGACCCCTGTTTACACGCCCACGCCCACGCCCGCGCCCACGACCTCCGTTCATCACCCCGCCCGCCCAGTTCCGCCCGCAGCAGGTGAGTGTTCGTAATTCGCTTATATGTTATATATCCAGCTAATACTGCTACTACTACTACTACTACTACGACTACTACTACTACTACTACTACTACTATTACTACTACTACTACTACTACTACTACTATAAATAATAATTAATAATAATAATAATAATAATAATAATAATAATAATAATAATCTTTATTTCTACCAGTACATGATACAACTTATACAGACCATAGCTGACACCTATGACATACTATATAGAAAGTTCCTGGTTATGTAGAGCATTTCCCGCAACTTAGGTTAATTTTGTCCCCAGGATGCCACCCACACCAGTCTGCTAACACCCAGGTACCTACTTATTGCTAGGTGAACAGTGACAGCAGATGCAAGGTGACTAACATCCAGGTACCTACTTACTGCTAGGTGAACATGGACAACAGGTGTGTTAAGGAAACATGTCCTAATATTTACAACCGTTTACCTGGAGTTTACCTGGAGAGAGTTCCGGGGGTCAACGCCCCCGCGGCCCGGTCTGTGACCAGGCCTCCTGGTGGATCAGAGCCTGATCAACCAGGCTGTTGCTGCTGGCTGCACGCAAACCAACGTACGAGCCACAGCCCGGCTGATCAGGAACTGACTTTAGGTGCTTGTCCAGTGCCAGCTTGAAGACTGCCAGGGGTCTGTTGGTAATCCCCCTTATGTGTGCTGGGAGGCAGTTGAACAGTCTCGGGCCCCTGACACTTATTGTATGGTCTCTTAACGTGCTAGTGACACCCCTGCTTTTCATTGGGGGGATGTGCATCGTCTGCCAAGTCTTTTGCTTTCGTAGTGAGTGATTTTCGTGTGCAAGTTCGGTACTAGTCCCTCTAGGATTTTCCAGGTGTATATAATCATGTATCTCTCCCTCCTGCGTTCCAGGGAATACAGGTTTAGAAACCTCAAGCGCTCCCAGTAATTGAGGTGTTTTATCTCCGTTATGCGGGCCGTGAAAGTTCTCTGTACATTTTCTAGGTCAGCAATTTCACCTGCCTTGAAAGGTGCTGTTAGTGTGCAGCAATATTCCAGCCTAGATAGAACAAGTGACCGGGGATCGAACCACCGACCTCAATGCGTGAGATGAATGCGCTACCAACCCAGCTACGGGACACCGTCTTATTGCTCGCTCTCACGCATCGCTCTCTACACGCAAGATTTCTTACTAACGAAATATCGAAGGGGAAGGAGACTCGAACCCATGGCAAACTGGTCTTAGACCAGTGTATTATACTCACCCCACTATTCCAATCGCGTGCACTGAGGTAGAGGGGATTGGGATTATGCCATACACCCCACTATTCCAATCGCGTGCTCTGAGGTAGAGGGGATTGGGATTATGCCATACGGGTATTGGATCACGCAGCAGCTGGAATACACCCGACTAATGCTTTTATTATGGATATATTTTTAGTAATCCACGTTAAAAGCTAAACCCACGTGGGTTATTCGTCGCAAGGCTGTCTGGCTGAGAGCCGGACAGGAGCAATTCCTATCTGTATGCTAATTCGTTTTTTTCCATTGTTGTTCTGTCAGGTCCGTCGGCCAGCACCTCCAGTCCTCAGACCACAGTCACCCACACCTCAACAGAACCTCATATCTCCTATAATCAGACCCGTGAGTATAATCCAGGTGCAGGTAGGGCAGCAGGTAGGGCAGCAGGTAGGGAAGCAGGTAGGGAAGCAGGTAGGGCAGCAGGTAGGGAAGCAGGTAGGGAAGCAGGTAGGGCAAGGGGCAACATGCCTGGCTTGCCCACTAGGCACAATGGGTCAGTGACAGGTACACAGAAGGGAATTTGTTTTGTTAGATATACACCGAGATGTGTATATCTTAGTGTACATACACTGAGAGGTGTATATCTTAGTGTATATATACTGAGAGGTGTATATCTTAGTGTATATAAATAAATAAATAAATAACAAAAAGGCACAATACCGTGACTGGAACGATACACAAATAACCCGCACATAAAAGACAGAAGCTTACGACGACGTTTCGGTCCGACTTGGACCAGTGTATATACACTGAGAGGTGTATATCTCAGTGTATATACACTGAGAGGTGTATATCTCAGTGTATATACACTGAGAGGTGTATATCTCAATGTATATACACTGAGAGGTGTATATCTCAATGTATATACACTGAGAGGTGTATATCTCAGTGTATATACACTGAGAGGTGTATATCTCAGTGTATATCTCAGTATATCACATTAATCAGTATTTTAGTTATTCTTGACTAGTGGTGTACAGGTGACATGCAGCCTTAATGACCCTCAACTCATTACATTGTAACCCTAACAACTCAACCAACATTACATCATACATCATACTCAACCAACATTACATCATACAGGATGGGTAATGAATCATTCACACGTCATACATGGTCACAATCATGAGCAAATTACAAGGTCTGTAACTTGGTCACGATTGTGACCAGATCTACCTGGAGTTCATTACCTTGTAACTTGGTCATGATTGTGACCAGATCTGCCTGGAGTTCATTACCTTGTAACTTGGTCATGATTGTGACCAGATCTACCTGGAGTTCATTACCTTGTAACTTGGTCATGATTGTGACCAGATCTACCTGGAGTTCATTACCTTGTAACTTGGTCATGATTGTGACCAGATCTACCTGGAGTTCATTACCTTTGTACCTTGTTTAGCTATCAAAACTTTGGGGCCCAGTCCCTGGACCCATTATGTACCTCTGTAATTTTGAGGTACAGTCCCTGGACCCATTATGTACCTCTGTAATTTTGAGGTACAGTCCCTGGACCCATTATGTACCTCTGTAATTTTGAGGTACAGTCCCTGGACCCATTATGTACCTCTGTAATTTTGAGGTACAGTCCCTGGACCCATTATGTACCTCTGTAATTTTGAGGTACAGTCCCTGGACCCATTATGTACCTCTGTAATTTTGAGGTACAGTCCCTGGACCCATTATGTACCTCTGTAATTTTGAGGTACAGTCCCTGGACCCATTATGTACCTCTGTAATTTTGAGGTACAGTCCCTGGACCCATTATGTACCTCTGTAATTTTGAGGTACAGTCCCTGGACCCATTATGTACCTCTGTAATCTTTCGACTACCTCCCACAGGGTGGGTATGGGCTGTGAAATTAAGATATTAACCTAACTGAACAGGATGGGCTACGTACATCAGCTCATAAAATGTGTCAATCTTAGCTGGTAGACTTCAGCAAGGTGGTGAGGGTATCATCAGACATTCCACTATGGTCCAGTAACTACGACAGCCTCAAAGTTACCTTCCAGCAGTGCTGGAGTTACTGTTACCCAAGTAATGAGGGTATCATCAAACATTCCACTATAGTTCAGTGCCTACGGCAGCTTCAGAAACATTTCAATAGGCCTTAGTCCTACACCCAGCCTATGTTTTGTATCACTGATTACGTATTCGTTTATTTTCTATTGCTCTCAATAATCACGTATTTTGAATTAAAAAAATGGTATACGAATGTAATTGTGTAGAGTGTTCGTCCATGGACTACTATGACTACTACTCTGTGTACGACGTGTACGACTTGTACGACGACTCGACGAACGTCCTGATCCTGTTGTTCTGGTTCGGATGTTGCATGTGTTGCTTCGATCTGGTTTTGTTAACGTTGGTCCACTGAGTGTTCTGACCAGCCCTGCGTGACCTAGGATGACCCTCTGCCGTCTAGGGCAACTTGTCCACTCTCTCTCAGGTCGACGACGACCAGGTCCCTCTCCTCCTGCGTCCAGGACGATTTGTACTCCTGTGAAAACCTCGTCGACCTGCTTGTAGAGGCCACTGCTGCAGGAAGAGATGTAGGGAGGGTGGTTGGGTCCTGACTTGAGGACCTCCACACCCCTTCTGTGAGCCGTGACGACCTCCACACCCCTTCTGTGAGCCGTGACGATCTCCACACCCCTTCTGTGAGCCGTGACGATCTCCACACCCCTTCTGTGAGCCGTGACGACCTCCACACCCCTTCTGTGAGCCGTGACGACCTCCACACCCCTTCTGTGAGCCGTGACGACCTCCACACCCCTTCTGTGAGCCGTGACGACCTCCACACCCCTTCTGTGAGCCGTGACAATCTCCACACCCCTTCTGTGAGCCGTGACGATCTCCACACCCCTTCTGTGAGCCGTGACGACCTCCACACCCCTTCTGTGAGCCGTGACGACCACCAGCAACTTGATTTTTCTTGAGATGCCCAGAACCCAAAACTTGACATGATAACACTTCGTTTTTCCCTGGTAATGTTGTACACGGGAGTTCATGAGAGTGCATGGGAGTGCATGAGAGTACATGGGAGTGCATGAGTATGTGGGAGTACACGGTAAACAACTATCAGAGGACATGGTAGTCCACAGAGACGATCTACCAAGAACTGTCATGTATCCTACAGGTACACAAATAACCCGCACATAAAAGACAGAAGCTTACGACGACGTTTCGGTCCGACTTGGACCATTGACAAAGTCACACTAACAGAGGAGGAGCAGGACGGCTATATATAGGCAGGAAAGGTGGAGGGTAGTAGTAGTATAGTAGTAGTTAGTAGTAGTAGTAGTAGTAGTAGTAGTCAGTAGTACAAGAATTGTATAAATACCGACAGGATGAAATGACACATGCACAACACCCGGGCATCCCCACTGATGAAATTAGACACATGTGCGGCGTCTGGTTGTCTTTGTTGTGGACGTTTCGCCATCCAGTGGCTGGCTGGATGGCGAAACGTCTACGGGGGATGCCCGGGTGTTGTGCATGTGTCATTTCATCCTGTCGGTATTATATACAATTCTTGTACTACTACTACTACTACTACTACCACTACTACTACCTCCACCTCTTCCTGCCTATATATAGCCGTCCTGCTCCTCCTCTGTTAGTGTGACTTTGTCAATGGTCCAAGTCGGACCGAAACGTCGTCGTAAGCTTCTGTCTTTTATGTGCGGGTTATTTGTGTATCGTTCCAGTCACGGTATTGTGCCTTTTTGTTATTTATCCTACAGGTATGTGAGGCCAGGACAGTAAAGCACAAGTCTCAGGTCTTGTTGTAGGCACTGACATCTTCGCACATGAGCGAAACATCGCCTTATAGAGGCTGAGTGTGTTTATTTTACTCATTCCTTAACGTTGCACAAGTCATTGCACTGTAACCTTGTGCAATATTGACTTAAGATCCCATTTATGGCGTCATCTTTCACTGCTTTCCTAAACCTAATTGATGTTAATGAAGGCTCTTGATCAAGGGAATTAGAGCTCACTTTTCCCTCTGATTTGAAGTAGATCACTCCCAACATTAAAGTACCCATACTAATTTAGCGCTTACAGAAATCCGTAGCGTATATTTCTTAAAAATTACCCATTATTTTATATTATCATTTCCTTAATTTCTTTTCTAAATTATTTATTTTTATTAGAGTAATATTAATTTTATTTTTTCTTATTTAATTAATTATTTTATTAATATTTTATTGGTCCATTTTAATTATAAATTAAAATAACTTTTATGTTACAAATTAAAATGTTTTAGTTTCCCTTAATTTGTGATTTTTTTTTTCACTTTAAGGTGAAACTATAATATTTATGACTTAAATTTTTTTCAGACACCACAACGTCGACCAACGCCACAGTTCTCTCGGCCACAGCAGCTGCAGCAACAACTGCAACAGCAGCAGCTGCAGAAGCTGCAACAACAACAACTCCTTCAACAACAACAGCAGAAGCTGCAACAACAACAACTCCTTCAACAACAACAGCAGAAGCTGCAACAGCAACAACGCCTTCAACAACAACAGCTTCGAAAACCTCCATCTGACCTCAGTGGTTTTGGATCACCACGACCCGACTCCCTCATTACTAATTCACAATCACAACCCCGACGACCACAAGCACCCCCACCAGAAATATTCTCCCCTTCCAAACCCATCACAAACCCACTACCCAACCCCATCACCAACACCATCCTGGGCATGACCCCTCCACCTCCACCCCGTCCCCAAGCACCCAAACCTATTTCTCTCCCTTCCCCACCTTCCCCACCTCCTCCCACTATCTTACAAGCAGTGGACCTGGCCACCCCTCGCCCCATACGACCCCTACCACCAATAAACTCAAATTCAGTGGAAGAACTGCTGGTAAATCCAGTTCCAGCTGTCAACGCTGGGGTCCTCCCTTTGGCCAACGAGAAACCCAGTGAACAGCAGCTCTTCCCACCCCTTTCTAATATTCCTTAATTCTTAGTCATTTTGGGGTTTAAATGCGTCCAGCGCCTATCAAAGTTTTCCATTATCGTTCGTAGTGTCTGCTGTTATTATTTTTTTGTTAATGGAGGACTGTGCATTGAATTATAAGCTATATTATAGTAGTGCCACCTCTGTACCCGTTCCTAATTTGCTTAAAAATGATTATAAACTAATCTAGATTCATGTATAGTACTATTGACAATTGTAAACAGAAGGCATAGGTTTGAGAATGAGTTTTTATTGGGACAATGTATCGCTCTATATAGAGCTAGAGTTATGATTAAAACTCTACACAGAGAAAAAGGTCTGTAACCTATGTCATTTCTTCATATTAGCAATTCTGGAGGCAAGCCAAAGAATATGCAAGGGCCATAATTGCTTTGCTAGTGGTCCATACCGGTCCATACTGGCCCATACCTCTTTAGTATAGGCCAGTAGGCCTACTGCAATATTTCTCCACATATTCTTTACTTAAAAATCCCTTCACACGCCAACTCATATAACGCCATAAATGCAGCGATGACTCCAAGACAAATGTTGCTAAACATGACTCGCGAATCGAAATAAAAGAATTGTCAACTACATAACTTAGATCCAATCCTCCATGACTCGAGGCAGATAGTTTCACACACCATGTTAATACCACTATTTTTGCCTTTATTGCCCATTGTACTGAGCCGTCAAAAACCGAATCTCAACTTTCCTAAAAATGGAGAGAAAAAAAGGCAGGTATAGAGTTCCACCTGGGACAACTTCTTGCTCTATGTAGAGCTCTATAAGGTCAATCCAAGTGATGATTAAGCTCTATTGTGGCAACTTTTTGCTCTAGTGACTTTCTCTGCAATTTTGTTTGCAATATATAAGTGAAACGTAAGAACTGTGTACGATATTGTGTCCTCCAGCAAGGTCCCTTGATTTGTATCTAACCTACAATTCAGAGAGGGAACTTTAGATGACGTTTCGGTTCTCCCTGGACCGAAAAGTTACTTTATAATGGTCCTGGACGGACCGAAACATCTTGATGTTCCAGAGAGGACCGATAGTTTGATATCCAGAATTGTTCCGGCCAGGGTATTGTGTGTTGTGAATTGTTCCAGCCAGGGTATTGTGTGTTGTGAATTGTTCCAGCCAGGGTATTGTGTGCTGTGAATAGTTCCAGCCAGGGTATTGTGGGTTGTGAATTGTTCCAGCCAGTGTATTGTGGTTGTGAATTGTTCCAGCCAGGGTATTGTGGGATGTGAATTGTTCCAGCCAGTGTATTGTGGTTGTGAATTGTTCCAGTCAGGATATTGTGGGTTGTGAATTGTTCCAGTCAGGGTATTGTGTGTTGTGAATTGTTCCAGCCAGGGTATTGTGGGTTGTGAATTGTTCCAGCCAGGGTATTGTGGTTGTGAATTGTTCCAGCCAGGATATTGTGGGTTGTGAATTGTTCCAACCAGGGTATTGTGTGTTGTGAATTGTTCCAGCCAGTGTATTGTGGTTGTGAATTGTTCCAGCCAGGATATTGTGGGTTGTGAATTGTTCCAGCCAGGGTATTGTGTGTTGTGAATTGTTCCAGCCAGGGTATTGTGGGTTGTGAATTGTTCCAGCCAGTATTGTGGGTTGTGAATTGTTCCAGCCAGGGTATTGTGTGTTGTGAATTGTTCCAGCCAGGGTATTGTGGGTTGTGAATTGTTCCAGCCAGGGTATTGTGTGTTGTGAATTGTTCCAGCCAGGGTATTGTGGGTTGTGAATTGTTCCAGCCAGTGTATTGTGGTTGTGAATTGTTCCAGCCAGGGTATTGTGGGTTGTGAATTGTTCCAGCCAGTGTATTGTGGTTGTGAATTGTTCCAGCCAGGGTATTGTGGGTTGTGAATTGTTCCAGCCAGTGTATTGTGGTTGTGAATTGTTCCAGCCAGGGTATTGTGTGTTGTGAATTGTTCCAGCCAGGGTATTGTGGGTTGCGAATTGTTCCAGCCAGGGTATTGTGGTTGTGAATTGTTCCAGCCAGGATATTGTGGGTTGTGAATTGTTCCAGCCAGGGTATTGTGTGTTGTGAATTGTTCCAGCCAGGGTATTGTGTGTTGTGAATTGTTCCAGCCAGGGTATTGTGTATTGTGAATTGTTCCAGCCAGGGTATTGTGGGTTGCGAATTGTTCCAGCCAGGGTATTGTGTGGTGTGAATTGTTCCAGCCAGGGTATTGTGTGTTGTGAATTGTTCCAGCCAGGGTATTGTGGGTTGTGAATTGTTCCAGCCAGGGTATTGTGGGTTGTGAATTGTTCCAGCCAGGGTATTGTGTGTTGTGAATTGTTCCAGCCAGGATATTGTGGGTTGTGAATTGTTCCAGCCAGGGTATTGTGGGTTGTGAATTGTTCCAGCCAGGATATTGTGTGTTGTGAATTGTTCCAGCCAGGATATTTTGGGTTGGGGAATTGTTCCAGCCAGGGTATTGTGGGTTGTGAATTGTTCCAGCCAGGGTATTGTGTGTTGTGAATTGTTCCAGCCAGGGTATTGTGGGTTGTGAATTTTTCCAGCCAGGGTATTGTGGGTTGTGAATTGTTCCAGCCAGGGTATTGTGGTTGTGAATTGTTCCAGCCAGGATATTGTGTGTTGTGAATTGTTCAAGCCAGGATATTGTGGGTTGTGAATTGTTCCAGCCAAGGTATTATGTGTTGTGAATTGTTCCAGCCAGGGTATTGTGGGTTGTGAATTGTTCCAGCCAGGGTATTGTGGTTGTGAATTGTTCCTGCCAGGATATTGTGGGTTGTGAATTGTTCCAGCCAGGGTATTATGGTTGTGAATTGTTCCAGCCAGGGTATTGTGGTTGTGAATTGTTCCAGCCAGGGTATTGTGGTTGTGAATTGTTCCAGCCAGGATATTGTGGGTTGTGAATTGTTCCAGCCAGGATATTGTGGGTTGTGAATTGTTCCAGCCAGGGTATTGTGGGTTGTGAACTGTTCCAGCCAGGGTATTGTGGTTGTGAATTGTTCCAGCCAGGGTATTGTAGGTTGTGAATTGTTCCAGCCAGGGTATTGTGGTTGTGAATTGTTCCAGCCAGGGTATTGTGGGTTGTGAATTGTTCCAGCCAGGGTATTGTGGTTGTGAATTGTTCCAGCCAGGGTATTGGGGGTTTGTGAATTGTTCCAGCCAGGTATTGTGGGTGTGAATTGTTACAGCCAGGGTATTGTGGTTGTGAATTGTTCCAGCCAGGGTATTGTGGGTTGTGAATTGTTCCAGCCAGGGTATTGTGGGTTGTGAATTGTTCCAGCCAGGGTATTGTGGTTGTGAATTGTTCCAGCCAGGGTATTGTGGGTGTGAATTGTTCCAGCCAGGGTATTGTGGGTGTGAATTGTTCCAGCCAGGGTATTGTGGGTGTGAATTGTTCCAGCCAGGGTATTGTGGTTGTGAATTGTTCCAGCCAGGGTATTGTGGTTGTGAATTGTTCCAGCCAGGGTATTGTGGGTTGTGAATTGTTCCAGCCAGGGTATTGTGGGTTGTGAATTGTTCCAGCCAGGGTATTGTGGTTGTGAATTGTTCCAGCCAGGGTATTGTGGTTGTGAATTGTTCCAGCCAGGGTATTGTGGGTTGTGAATTGTTCCAGCCAGGATATTGTGTGTTGTGAATTGTTCCAGCCAGGGTATTATGTGTTGTGAATTGTTCCAGCCAGGGTATTGTGGTTGTGAATTGTTCCAGCCAGGGTATTGTGGTTGTGAATTGTTCCAGCCAGGGTATTGTGGTTGTGAATTGTTCCAGATACGGTATTGTGTGTGTCATTCTCCTCTAAATAAAAAACCGCGAGTTTGTTATAATAATCTCTAGTATCATGACCAAAATAAAGAAAACTTTGGTATTTAAGACAAAATAGCAGAGGCCTATTCTTGTTTCGTATATAATTTGGACAAAATAGAAGTGTGACTTATGGTTCCATAGGCCTACGTAATGTATATGCCCATTATTGTGTATACTGAAGGAGATATACTGTCCTCCTCCAGGACTGGAGTTTACCTGGAGAGAGTTCCGGGGGTCAACGCCCCCGCGGCCCGGTCTGTGACCAGGCCTCCTGGTGGATCAGAGCCTGATCAACCAGGCTGTTGCTGCTGGCTGCACGCAAACCAGCGTACGATCCACAGCCCGGCTGGTCAGGAACCGACTTTAGGTGCTTGTCCAGTGCCAGCTTGAAGACTGCCAGGGGTCTGTTGGTAATCCCCCTTATGTGTGCTGGGAGGCAGTTGAACAGTCTCGGGCCCCTGACACTTATTGTATGGTCTCTTAACGTGCTAGTGACACCCCTGCTTTTCATTGGGGGGATGGTGCATCGTCTGCCAAGTCTTTTGCTTTCGTAGTGAGTGATTTTCGTGTGCAAGTTCGGTACTAGTCCCTCTAGGATTTTCCAGTTAGTTAGTTAAAGATTAGCCGGTATTCTCCCGGCCCGGGCCTTGTCCAAGTGGTGGCCCGGCCTTGGCTCCCTCTTTAGGGAGTGTCTGAGACCTAAGTCTCCCATGGGAGGAGGCATAAGCACCTCCTCATCTTTGGGACCAACTGTCCCCAGGCCTAGCCACAAGCTAGGCCTCTCTGGTCTGCCATCCCCGCCCCAAGGGGGCAAATGGGAATGACAGTCTTATGAGCTAAAGGCTCGGGCTCAGGCACCTACCCTACCCTAGAAGGGCTAGGACAGTCTTATGAGCTAAAGGCTCGGGCTCAGGCACCTACCCTACCCTAGAAGGGCTAGGACAGTCTTATGAGCTAAAGGCTCGGGCTCAGGCACCTACCCTACCCTAGAAGGGTTAGGACAGTCTTATGAGCTCAAGGCTCGGGCTCAGGCACCTACCCTACCCTAGAAGGGTTAGGACAGTCTTATGAGCTCAAGGCTCGGGCTCAGGCACCTACCCTACCCTAGAAGGGTTAGGCATGGTGTCGATCAGGATTTTCCAGGTGTATATAATCATGTGTCTCTCCCGGACTGGTGACAACACAAGCTACATCTCGAAAATTGGACTGAGACCTGGTTTTCAAAACCATGTTGGTAGGTCCAAGACCCACACAGGTTAGTTATCATAGTCAAGGAAAGCGCAAAGCCCGTATGGGGCTCCCCCTACATTATGAATGATGTTTGAAACGTTTATTTCCAGAATGTTGTATCCAGCCTCTTTATAGACATCACTAAAAAATCTGGATTAATAAAAAATATATATTCGTTGAGTTTAGGTCTTCACTAATAAATATTCCTGAGTAATAATCTAATCCCTTGGATCAAAAACTTCGTTTACAAATTGTTACCAATATATTTTAAAAAAATAATAAAATTTAACATTTTTCTATGCAAATTAAATATATTTAAATAAATATTTTGATACTTTTTTAGAAATATATATATACTTTTATATTTACTTATTTATCATACGCTTTTAATTATATAAAAATGTGATATATATTTTTAAAATAATTAAAATTGCTTAAAAATTGGGATCGGTGATCTTGTTATTAAAGTTATTTTAAAGGTCAACTATTTTGTTTTATTTCTTACCTCAGTTAAGATTTCGTTCGGATTTTTAACCCCGGAGGGTTAGCCAGCCAGGATAACACAAGAAAGTCAGTGCGTCATCGAGGACTGTCTAACTTATTTCCATTGTGGTCCTTAATCTTGTCCCCCAGGATGCCACCCACACCAGTCCACTAACACCCAGGATGCCACCCACACCAGTCCACTAACACCCAGGATGCCACCCACACCAGTCCACTAACACCCAGGATGCCACCCACACCAGTCGACTAACACCCAGGATGCCACCCACACCAGTCCACTATCACCCAGGATGCCACCCACACAGTCGGACTAACACCCAGGATGCCACCCACACCAGTCATAACACCAGATAGCACCAACCAGTCGACTAACACCAGGATGCCCCACACCAGTCAACTAACACCAGATGCGACCCACACCAGTCGACTACACCCAGGATACCACAGACACCATCGACTAACACCCAGGATGCCACCCACACCAGTCGACTAACACCCAGGATGCCACCCACACCAGTCGACTAACACCCAGGATGCGACCCACACCAGTCGACTAACACCCAGGATACCACAGACACCAATCGACTAACACCCAGGATGCCACCCACACCAGTCGACTAACACCCAGGATGCCACCCACACCAGTCGACTAACACCCAGGATGCGACCCACACCAGTCGACTAACACCCAGGATACCACAGACACCAATCGACTAACACCCAGGATGCCACCCACACCAGTCGACTAACACCCAGGATGCCACCCACACCAGTCGACTAACACCCAGGATGCCACCCACACCAGTCGACTAACACCCAGGATGCAACCCACACCAGTCAACTAACACCCAGGATGCCACCCACACCATCGATTAACACCCAGGATGCCACCCACACCAGTCGATAACACCCAGGATGCCACCCACACCAGTCGACTAACACCCAGGATGCCACCCACACCAGTCGACTAACACCCAGGATGCAACCCACACCAGTCAACTAACACCCAGGATGCCACCCACACCAGTCGATTAACACCCAGGATGCCACCCACACCAGTCGATTAACACCCAGGATGCCACCCACACCAGTCGACTAACACCCAGGTACCTACTTACTGCTAGGTGAACAGGACAACAGGTGTAAGGAAACGTGTGGAAATGTTTCCACCCGCCGGGGATCGAACCCGGGTCCTCCGTGTGTGAAGCGGGAGCTTTAGCCACCAGGCCACCGGGCCTTTAAGGGAGATGCCTTGATGCTTTTAGAAGGCTTTTGATCCAAGGAATATGAGCTACCCTCCTATTCCTTGGTCAGAGTCTCATTACCTCGACTGATCTAGGCGCTCTATGACCCCTACAGGTTTAGCGCTACTAAATAGAATATTAATATTATTATTATTATTAGTAATAGTAGTTGACCTGGAGAGAGAGTTTCGGGGGTCAGCGCCCCCGCGGCCCGGTCTGAGACCAGGCCTCATGGCGGTTCAGCGCCTGATCAACCAGGCTGTTACTGCTGGCCGCAAGCAAACTGACGTACGAACCACAGCCCGGTTACTAGTGGTATTATTATTATTATATATTATTATTATTATTATTATTATTATTATTATTATTATTATTATTATTATTATTATTACTATTATTATTATTATTATTATTATTATTATTATTATTATTATTATTATTATTATTATTATTATTATTTATTATTATTATATAATTATTATTATTATTATATTATTATTATTATTATTACTATATATTATTATTATAATTATTATTATTATTACTATTATTATTATTATTATTATTATTATATTATTATTATATTATTATATTATTATTATTATTATTATATTATTATTATTATTATTATTATTATTATTATTATTATTATTATTATTATACATGGAGGTGGAGTGTGGTCGTGTCTTGGTTTAATAAAGCAACTTTAATAAAGCAACTTTCTCCCTGCATATTTAATTCATTTCTACCTTTCCTCTGTTATCTCTCTCATTAAGAACGCTCTAAGAACTTCCTGCGGTGTATTGTGTTCTTGGTATATAAGAATAACTTAAGTTACAGCGCCAGAACTAGGGAATTATCCATATTTATAAAATTGTTTGGTACACTATTGTATTTTTGTTGCACTCTCAAAATTTTGCTGTATTTGGTTTTAAAGGCTAGATATATTGAGAGATGTATATTTCTTATATTTCCCGTCTCAGTGTATATCACGACCCGATACCTTCTCCCTGCTATCTCTAGTGTATATGCACTTCTCCCTGCTATCTCTCAGTGTATATAACATTGTTCTTGCAATATTTTTTTAAGTGTATATAACACTTTTCCTGCATATCTTCCCCCACTGTATGTTTTACATTTGCAGGAGATTCATTGACTAGCTTGTATTTTAAGTGTTCTTAAGTATAACTGACTGGTACTTAACCTAGCGTGCAGGCTAGATCTGTAACACCCACTTGTAGCTGGTTATCTTACAGTTTGCAGGCTAGACGCTGTTATCTTACCTCAGCTTAGTTTACAAGCTATGAGCTGATTAAGACACTTGTACAATAGTTAGTTATCTTTATCCCCAAAGCTTCACGTACACATTAACCTTGATAGGCGGAATACCGAGGTTGCAGCTCTGGAGACAGTAGAAGCTGGGGAGAGGTGCTGTGATCAGTCTATTAACCTTGAAGGAGAGGCGTGACGTGGAATTTCTCCTTTTTTTGCAACACTGCAAGCGCCTGATAGCGTGTACATTGCAACTTGAAAGGCCTAGGACTGTCATTCAACTCCTCCCATGGTTATTTTGCAACACATTAAGTGTCAAAAGCCCAAGACTGTTCAACTGCCTCCCAGCATGCATAACGGGGATTACCAATAGACCCCTGGCTGTGTTCTAGACCCCTGGCTGTGTTTTAGACCCCTGGCTGTGTTCTAGACCCCTGGCTGTGTTTTAGACCCTTGGCTGTGTTCTAGACCCCTGGCTGTGTTTTAGACCCCTGGCTGTGTTCTAGACCCCTGGCTACCTTCAAGACCCCTGGCTGTCTTCAAGACCCCTGGCTGTCTTCAAGACCCCTGGCTGTCTTCAAGAAGGCACTGGACAGGCACCTAAAGTCAATACCTGACCAGCCAGGCTGTGGTTCGTACGTTGGTTGCGTGCGGCCAACAGTAACAGTCTGGTTGATCAGGCCCTGATCCATCATGAGGCCTGGTCACAGACCGGGCCGCGGGGGCGTTGACCTCCGGAATCTTCTCCAGATATACTCCAGGTATATATAATAATTTATATATTTATATGTACACGTACCTGAAAAAAACTAACTTACCAAGGACAAACCAGAAAAGATCAGAAAAGTGACTTATTTCCATTAGAAGTTTGTGCCACTCATCTACAACTCTATTGCCAAACCAGGACACTGCAACTTGCTAGACAATACACCATTACCACTGCAATTTAGCGGTCAAAACTTTAGAGGAATTGTGTGCCTCTGTAATTTTTGACTACCTCCCACCCCATGGAAATAGGGCGAATCTTAAATCTATTGGGAATAAATCACTTGTCTAACTTTTTCTGGGTTACCTGGAGAGAGAGTGTCGGGGGTCAACGCCCCCCGGCCCGGTCTGTGACCAGGCCTCATGGTAGATCAGGGTCTTATCAACCAAGATGTTACTATTGTTGGCCGCACGTAAACCGACATACGAACCACAACCTGGTTGGTCAGGTACTGACTTTAGGTGCTTGTCCAGTGCCTGCTTGAAGACTGCCAGGGGTCTTGAAGACAGCCAGGGGTCTTGAAGACAGCCGGGGGTTTTGAAGACAGCCAGGGGTCTTGAAGACAGCAAGGGGTTCTGAAGACAGCCAGGAATCTTGAAGACAGCCAGGGGTTTTGAAGACAGCCAGGGGTTTTGAAGACAGCAAGGGGTTCTGAAGACAGCCAGGAGTTTTGAAGACAGCCAGGGGTTTTGAAGACAGCCAGGGGTTTTGAAGACAGCAAGGGGTTCTGAAGACAGCCAGGGGTTTTGAAGACAGCCAGGAATCTTGAAGACAGCCAAGGGTTTTGAAGACAGCCAGGGGTTTTGAAGACAGCAAGGGGTTCTGAAGACAGCCAGGGGTTTTGAAGACAGCCAGGAATCTTGAAGACAGCCAAGGGTTTTGAAGACAGCAAGGGGTTCTGAAGACAGCCAGGAATCTTGAAAATAGCCAGGGGTCTTGAAAACAGCCAGGGGTCTATTGGTAATCCCCCTTATGTATGCTGGGAGGCAGCTGAACAGTCTTGGGCCCCTGACACTTATTGTGCTGTCACTTATCGTGCTAGTGACACCCCCGCTTGTCACTGGGGGGATGTTGCACCGTCTCCCATACCTTTTGCTGTCCTTATGGAGGAATGATTTTCCGTGGTGTAAGTTTGGTACTAGTCCCTGTAGGGTCCCTGGATTCTTTAGACATATGTTGGTATGTATGATAATCTTTGTAACTGTGTATACCTGAATAAAGTCACACCACAAGAAATAAGAAGGAATAATAGATAGGAATAACAGATAGGAAGGAATAATAAGAGAATCAATGTGTATAGGCACCATTCTTAATTTTAACATTATTTTACTGGGATTCATTAAGGTGTCCCCTCAAGGGAGGTTCCTTGACGCTGGTGAGGGGCTCTTGATCCAGGGAATTGAATTTGTGCTCCAGTTCCCTGAATTAAACCAGAATACCTTCCATAGACGCTATATAATCCTACGGATTTAGCGCTCCCCATAATAATAGCAATAATAATAATAATAATAATAATAATAATAATAATAATAATAATAATAATAATAGTAATAATAATAATAATAATGATGATAATAATAATAATATATTATATTAAGGGTCCCTTTTAATTCACTTCAGTCTTATTCATCCGCCATAAAAAAAACTAGTTCCATAAACATTCGCCAATTTTACTATGAATTCGAATACATTTGCACCAGTAGCAGCCACAGTAGTTAGCTAATATAATTTTTAATAAAAATTACAAATATTAGTGGTAGAATATGACGATAGAGAATAATAAAGAAATATGAGGTGCGGAGGAGGAGTAAGGCGGTCAAGCGTCTCCCAGCCAGGACCGGTGACATCTTATCTCCATTATTTACCCTCAAAATGAAGCGAGGCACCGACCGAGACCTATCCCCATCAAGCAAGAGATCGAGATCAAGTGTTGGGAGGTACGAGGACAGCAGCGAGGACGACGGCCGGCGTAGTAGCCGAGGTGGCAGCCCAGGCCGCCGTTACCCCCCCCCTGAGCCCCTTCACCGCCCAGATCGTGACGATTTTAGGGGCCCCAGGGGCCCCTTACCTCCAACCTACAAAGTCCTATGTGTCTCGAACCTCCACGCCAAAGCTAGCGATGAGATGGTGAGAGAGGCGCTGTACAGGGAGTTTAAAAGGTTCGGCGAGGTGAGCGTGAAGGTTTCTTTAGGGGCCGACGAGAGGCTGGCTTATGTCTACTTCCGGAGCAGCGAGGAAGCCAGGGAAGCCAAGCACAGCAAGCCTAGGATCCTCTTTTATGATCGCCCTGTGATGGTTGAGCCTATGTATGAGGCTGTTAGGGAGTATGGGCTCCCCCGGGGGCGGTCTCGTAGCCCCTCGGATTATGATCGGGGGTATAGGCCTAGGAGCCCCCCGGGCCCGGAGCTGGATGATCGGTATGAGGCTAGGTTTGATAGGCGTAGGCCTCCGCCGCTCCCCCATGGGGATTACTACGGGGAGGGGCCGCCTATGAGACAGGACGACTACGGTTATCGACAGCATCGGGGGCGTGGCGGGCCCCACGGTCACTATGGGCCCCTGATGCGAGGCGGCTTCAAGCACAACTTCGGTAACCGTGGTGGCGGTGGCGGAGGCGGCGGGCTTGGCAGCGGCATGATCGACAGTAAGAGGGACAAGTTCCCTAATTATCTACATCACGTACCCCCCGAAGAGGACCCGTTAGCAACCCGTACCCTCTTTGCCGGCAACCTGGAGATAAACATTAACGAAGAAGAGCTGCGGCGTATTTTCGGACGATACGGCGTGGTGGACGATATAGATATTAAGAGGCCGCCGCCGGGCACGGGTAACGCCTATGCCTTTGTTAGGTTTCAGAATTTGGACATGGCCCATCGTGCGAAAATTGAACTTTCTGGGCAATATATTGGCAAATTTCAGTGTAAAATTGGTTACGGTAAAGTGATGCCCACCACTAGGGTATGGGTCGGTGGGTTAGGACCTTGGACGTCGGTGACCCAACTGACTCAGGAATTTGATAGGTTCGGTGCTATTAAAAAAATCGAATATGTTAAGGGCGAGACTCACGCTTACATATTATACGAAAGTCTCGATGCTGCCCAAGCAGCCGTGAAGGAAATGCGCGGCTCGCCACTAGGGGGACCAGACAAGAGGCTACGGACTGATTTTGCCGAAGTGAACCCTCCCCCAGGGACGTTTCCTCCTGGTTTCAAAAAGGAATACGAGGGGGAGTACCGTGAAGAATGGGCCGCGGGTGGCCGTGGTACTAGTTACGAGGAGTACGGGGCTGAGTATAGTGCAGCTTATGGACGGGGACCGTGGACGTGGGCGTGGCTGGCACGACCGTGGGCGAGGTGGGCATCGGGGTGGTTATCATCCTGATTACCCACGTGGAGACTACAGGGACTACGATGGTGCGTCTGAAGGTGGAGACCATCCTAATAGAAGTCCCGAACCTGGAGAGGGAGGAGAGAGCAACGGTCTTACCACTGCCCGCACCTTGGCTGACGTTGCCCGTAAGACGCAGACGTCCTGGCAGGGGCGCTAATTCTCAAGAATTCATCGTTTGGCACGAAGATGCATCTTATCGAAGGCGACAACGAAGTGGCCGAAATGATGCAAGACGAAGAAGGTCGGCCGCTGCTACGCATCACCCAGCGCCTTCGCCTCGATCAGTCGCGCCTCGACGACGTCAGCCGACGGATTAGCGCACCATCTACTGCCACCATCCTACTTTCCCTGCCCAGTACTACCGCACCTCAAGCTCCCGAGGAAGCCGCTGTCCAGACCAGACCGCTCCGTAACCTGGTGGCCTACCTTAAGCAAAAGGAAGCGGCTGGCGTGATCACCTTAAATGCTGCTAATAAGGAGGGAAGCTTGCAAGGGGTTCTCTATGCGTTTCCCCCGTGTGCTTTTTCACTAGACCTCTTGCACCGTGTCTCGCCGGGCCTAACGGAGGAAACCACCAGAGACGACCACCTGGTGATAGTGATTGTGCGTGGAACAGCGGCTTAAACTGGCGTTAAGAGTATGCATTGTTATAGTGAAGTCATTATTGTTAATAGTGTAAATTTCCATGACGTTAATAAGTTCAATCTTTGTTTGAACGAGTATTGCCTTATAGCAAAATACGTTCATTAGAGTACTATACGACCCATGCAGTTTTAGTGCTTTCCACGAATATATTAATACGTTGATTAGATCACTCGGAAGATTTATTCCATCACAGAAAATTGTTGCTTCTGTTTATACAGATTTAATTAACTCTAGTGTTAACTAGTGCAGTAATTTAAAGGGAAAATTGTTAATGTAGGCTAATACTGCATCGAGAAAATTGTTAATATCAAATTTTAATTGAAAATATTTTGCTTATTGTCTACCATCAGTCTTGTGTAACGATTAATTTTTTTAAATACAGTGAAATTGTGTTTCCAAAGTGTTTTAAATGTGTATGTGAAGCCTTTCCTTATTTTTTTTTTCCAGTGTGGTGAATATAGTGACGGAAGTGAAGAATGCGGTGAATGAGCCGAGTTCTGTTTCCGCTTTCACTTGTGAAGTGATTTTTTTTTTGATAGTGAAGTGAATTATTCTTGTGGTGAAGGATAAGCTGTTTGCTTTTCTTGCAGTTAGTTAAGTGCTCTTGATAACAGTGCTTCTGCACCAGCGCTGTACGGCCCATACGGGTTTAGTGCTTCTTGAATCTTTAATGATAAACCAGTGCTTTTACAGTGTCATATCAAGTGAAGTGCTTTGAGTTCGGTGTTGTGCTTTTTAGCAAGTGATTTAATTTTCTCTAGTGTTATATTTCCTAGTGAGTTCTGTGAGTGTTATGAAAGAAGCATCAATGCCATAATTAGTGAAGTGTTTTTTTTTTAAAAGTGAAGTGGTGTGAAAAAAAATAGTGATTTTTGAAGTGCTTCAGTGGTACATAGTTCGGGCGGGCGGGTATTGGGGTAGTAACGTTTTTTTTTTTTTTTTTAATAATTTATTCAGTGCATTAAATAGCCCAGTGGATATTTGTTTTTTCTTGATAAATGACGTTCCCCTTTAAGACTTAGGTCACAGTGCCGTGGCTGGAATATTTCACAAATAACCCACGGTCTTGAGGGGGGATGTATACGATTCAGTCTCTCCTAGACCGTTGTTAAATCCCACTTGTGATTTTGAAAATGGTTTAGAATGGACTGAATTGACCTTTTAAAATGTTCCTATCTATGGTGTGGGTCATTTGTGGGTCCAGCCCTTAGTAATTGAACCAAAATTTAGTTTTTTGCTTAGATTATTTTTGTTTTATAATCTTTTTCTTTGATTATCAACTTCTTGAGTTAGCCACTATTAACTTCTTGAAATCTATTGATTTTTGTGATTCTTTACTGCAAACATACACATTCGGTGACTTATGTATGCGGTAGAGGACGTTGGAATTGTCGTTGGATATTAAAGAACTTTAATATGGCTGTAGATAATCAAAGAATCAGTACAGCTATATCAAGGATTCCCACTTTTCCCCCTTTCATAATGAGCTCTGCATTTCAGTAACGGATACGGGGCCTCGGAAGTGTCGTTAATAGCAGATCTCGATGTTTTACAGGTACGAAACTGGCTCGTTGGAATAAAGTCCGTATACACAGTACATAAATTCAGTGATACAGTGCTACAGATACTATAGTGTTTGTGATTATCATTGGACAATGCATTGAAAGAACCATTCACATTAATATCTGCCTTGTGGATATGGGCTTCCATTTTAAAACGGTATATTTTAAATTTAAACTAAAGTGGCATGCAGCAGTGTTATTTAAGTGCTTTTGGTGATTACAGTGATAACCTAGGGTGATTGATTTGAAAAATCAAAAGTTAGTGGGTTCAGTGAATTTTACAAAATCTGTGTCGCAGTGAATTGGGTTTAAAAGGGCATTAAAATACAGTATAGTGGGGTATTTGAGTCAAGAGAAAGTACAAATCAGTGAATTTGGGTAAGGGTGTATTGCGAGTACAATCGTGATCAGTGATGTGGGAAGGGGAGGGCGTCTGGAAGTGAAATTAAAATTTGTGCTGGGGAACGTAAATTTATTTGCTGGGCCAATACTGAAAGTAAATAATTTCAAGGGAAAACAATGCATCTTAGTGGTTACGGGGAAGTGCAGAAAATTGGCTCTTAATATGGGAAAAGAAAATTTCCTTGAGTTAGCCTAGTCAAGTATATAAAATCAGAGTACATACAAACTGTGAAAAATCATACGGAAGTTGGCTTTAGCTGAAACTAGAAGTTTCAGCTACGGGTGGATTCACCTTCCTAGTGATTCTTTCGACAGGAAGTGCAGTGCAGTGAATTCGAAACATGAACGTGTATCAGTGCTTCTTTCATATATCTTACTAACCCCGGAGGTGCAGTTTTAAATATGAAAGATATATTCACCACATTAATCAAAAAAAAAGTTTGTGTCAAGTGAAGTGTTTTTTTTAAGCTCTTCCAGATATAAATGAGGTTAAAATTAACATGGAAATTACTGATCACTGAAAAGTGTTGTGCAGTTATATGTTGTTATAAGATGTTTGTGAAAAGTGCAGTGTTGTTCAACAGCAGTGAAATAGGATTTAGTGTCTTTATTCAGTGGTGTAATAGTGGGTGTGCAGTGTGACACGTGGAGTTCAGTGCCAGTGAAGTGAGACAGTGAGAGTGTATAAAGTGCAGTGAGTGGTGTTAGTGCAGGGAAAACAGTGCAGTTATAGTGGCAGTAGTGATAGTGCAGTGAAACCATGAATAGAGTTGTGATTTCAAGCAGGAAAGCGGTGCAGTTATAGTAACGGTAGTGATAGTGCAACCAAACAGTGAATTAACTGTTGGTTTTGACAGTGCAGTGATTGTGCAATGAAGATGAACATAAAAAGTTTTCTCAGTGACGTGATACACTTAACAGTTCTGATGCAATTAGATGTAATTTCATAATGTTAAAGCTTGTATTCATATCAGAAGCATTAACTCGCAGTAGTTATAAACATTGTCTATATAAATGCTCATCGTTACGAGTATTGGTAAAGGCAGACTCTTCGCAGATACAGTACTTCCATATTTGTATGGTAATAGAACAAATAAAATAACAAGCTCCTCTATTTAGTTTTACCTCCCTTCTTTTGTAATAATTTCACTGCTTTTTGATATTCCCAGTGACTTTTTTTTTTCTTTTGGTGATGATAATTCCAGTGCCTTTTGATGGTAATTGCAATGGTTCTCCTTTGATAATTATAATTTTGGTGACTGATAATTTTAATGACCCTTTCATAATGTTGATGCTCCTTTGATAATGATAATTTTAATTCCTGTAGCCCATTTTTTTTTTCTAATTATTTTTGGTGGTCAGTATTTTTTCATAATTCAATTAGTTGCAAATAATAAACAAATGAGTGTATGAGTGTAAAGTCTTCAAGAGGGAACTGGACAAATATCTTCACCAGGTATCATATCAGCTAGGCTGTGATGGATATGTGAGCCAGCAGGCCACCAGCAGCAACAGCCTGGTTGACCAGGCAAGCTCCAGGCGAGCCTAGCCCAAGACTGGGCTCCGGGAGTAGAAAAGCTCGGAACTAATTAAAGGTATATCAAAGGTAAAGAAATTAAAATTATATATGGCTGGGATCACATAATTTACTTTGCACTTTTATAGTTAGACGAAACATTAAGCTATTTATTTTATTTCCGTCCCAATACTGTATTTGAGATTTACAACATATGAGCATCTGTGAAAGTAAATATGCTTTGATGGTAATTACATAAAGGTAGGGTATGTGTGTACGTATGTGTGTACGTACAATATATATTCTTGAGGGCCTAGTTCCAAATCTGCACACTGCCATAAAATACCAGAGTGAGAGATATTGGAGGAAGTGTAAAATAAACCCAGTGAAAAGTAGGGGCACCTTAGGCACAATAAGAGAACATCATGTCAACATCAGGTGTCTGAAACTACTCATCATCTTGGCTAAGGATATCAGAAACTGCTGGGACAAGTGCAGAAGTCACAACTTGACAAGTGATGACATCAAGTGCCAGATCAATGAGGCCATGATGGCTATGTGGCCCAGTGGGCCACCTGCAGCATCAACCTGGTTGACTAGGCAATCACCAGACAAGCCTGGGCTAGGGCCAGGCTCTTGAGTAAAAATACTCTGAACTCATAAAAGGTATATCAGAGGTAAAGGGTTGTACACTATTCCCTATTTGGGGACTGAAGTATCTTTGATATTTACAACCTTAAATGAGCCATGGCAAGTAGATAAACTTAACAGGTATAATGAATTACAGTATTTCTAGTTATGACATTACATTTATATTTTTAGTGCATACTGTACGTATTTTTATTTACACATTTCCCTGGCACTTGCCTCCCCTGCACGTGGCTTCTTCCACCATTAATGATGTATGGCCCATTCAGGTTTGGCGTTTTCTTGTGAATATAATGTAAACACTTGAGAATAGTTGAGCACAATGATAGGCCTACTGACATGCAGTGGTGGACCTACAATTTTGGGGCCCTGAAGCTTGAACTGTTATGGGGGGGCCCCTTTGCAGTCCTTTCTCATGCAGTAGCTGTATAGCCCTTGTGGCTTAGCGCTTCTTTTTGATTATAATAATAATTCTCGTGCAGTATACCCAAAATTTTTAATGTGACTAAAGTTGCTTCAGGGCCCCTCTGGGATTAGGGGCCCTGAAACTTAAGCTTCATTAGTTTCCTGGGAGACCCACCCCTGCTGACATGCTCGGTAAGTTCAACCACACCTACTGGGGTGTGTCCAAAGTTCTTGCTTCAGTGATTGGGAGTTCCATTTGTAGGTCTATAACTCTGAATCTGTTGCTGTGAGTTCTGTCTTTTAGCTTTTTTCAGCACATTTATATCCCATTTATTCCTGTTTTTCATTTGTACACTCCAGGTCATATGCACCCTAATTCTATGCCTTTTCAGAATGAAATTCAGTGCCTTCAGTTTATCTTCGTGGGGAAGATTTCTGATACAGAGGATCAACATCGTCATTCATCAGTTTTCCAGGACATTTATGTCCATTCTGTAATACCGAAACTAAAAGTGGGCAGCATGATCTAATTTAGGCCTATCTAAGGATGTATAAAATATAACGATATGAAGCCAAGAATTCTGTTAGCTGTATTGTGAACACATGCACTCTTGTTTTATCTTTTAAATTTAACTAAACAGGGCTCCAGTTTTTTTACTTATTAGCTATGATATGATGTGTCAGTTATTTTCTTTTCCCAGGGTTTTGTCAACATTAAGCTGTATTTGTCATTTTTTCTGACTACATCAACTTATCCAGCTCATCCTGTAGCTTTCTAATACCCTCACTAGAAATTATTTAATGGTTTATTTTAGTGTCATTGGCAAACTTGCACATTGCTATTTATTCTCTCGTATATGTTTATGTAGATTAATACCAAGGGGCCCACTACTGACCCCTGTGGAACACCACTTGTAACGCACCCTTTCTGATTCCTCCTCAAGAGTATTTACACTGTTGACTCTTGGATGCAGGCGATAATTTCTCCTATGCTGTGTGCTGCTACTTCGGCAGTCTTTCTTTGTGAAACTATAAGTAGCCTTAATGAAGCCCATCCATTTACTCATAATGAGAAAAATTAGTAAATGCATGGAGGAAGAAAACCCCATTTGTATAACCGTACCTAGATTCTTTAGTCAAATTGTGTTTTTAGGTTTGACTTCAAGTTGCAGCTGCCACTAAAATTGACTTCCACAAGTTTTCCCACAATTGAGGTGAAGATGATCTCTAATTTGCAGTTAAGGCCCTATAGAAGTTATTTTTCACTTGCCTGGTAAGATACCTGTTTGTTGTGATATTTTGAAGGGATCAGCTAATGGTTTGCCAAGTTCGCCTCTCATGCCTTCAGAACCCTCAAACAGTTATGCAGTTTGTTAGTTATAATGTATCTGTCTTGAACCACATCACTAGTGACTTTGATTCTGCAGTATTTTCATCCTGATGTATATAATTATTGATTCTTGGAATTTTGTTTGTCTTCTCTTTTGTAAAAACGGAGGAAATAAGCCCTAAAAATTGTACACCATCACAAACAGTAGGCTGAAAGTTGACCCGAGTTATATTTAAGTGGGACTCTTTCCCTAATTGTAATTTTCTTTTTGCTACCCTTGCAACTTTAATAATCTCTTTATCCATAAAATGTTTTAATCTAGTGTTTAACCGCTTAGGGATATTTGTTTGTTCTAATTTTTCCATTAGACGTGTATGTGGCTTGGGCACCTTGTACAATACTTTAGAAAATGCCACATTAGCAGCCATATCCATTGTCGGTCCTGCTCTGTTACTCCAGTTTACACCTACCAAAGTAATCCCTCAGCCTTGTATCTACATCACCAAAATCGGTGACCTTAACTTTATTGTTATTAAGGTTATTCTATGAGATACTGAAACTTAAGTGATTTATGATTGCTGTCTCCCAGTCAAGCAGGTTATTTCTTGTAGTTTGTTCAGTCGTAGACTGTTTTAAAATGCAGTCTCGGTGCTCTTCTAAAAAACTGCTCATCTCTAAAATTTCTGTAGATTGTTCCAGTCACTTTGTAGTTAAAACTCCCATTAGGTTCGTATGTCAGTTTGTGTGTGGCCAGCAGTAATAGCCTGGTTGATCAGACCCTAATCCACCACGAGGCCTGGTCTCAGACCGGACTGTAGTGGTGTTGACCCCAAAAACCCTCTCCAGGTAACCGCATTTTCAGATCTAAAAGTGTTTGCAATTTCATCCCATAGACAATATATAGGTTTTGGGGACTATAGATTGAACCTGGGATTAGCTTTTCAGACCCTTCGATAAACTACATTCAAACAAATTGACCCCCCCCCCTTTCTGCATAGGTTCATTCTTTTGTAGCTTTTCTGTGGTAATCACAACTCTCACTTTCCTATAGACACTGGGGTAGAATAATTTATATATAGGCGTCCCTCGTTTTCCAGCATTTCGCTATTGCAGTGGTTTTCAGTTACACCTATTCGTCATTTATTGAGACTTCCTACAGTAAATATATTCACCACTCCTATGAGCTAAGGACGAAAATCTTTTAAGGCGAGTACGTAATTATATGCATTTTCTAGGCCTAGTTCTAGTGCTCACTTAACATGTTTACATAGTCTTATATTATTAGGCTTTTATATGCATATGAAAGTGAAAACAGGTTGTTTCACTACAGCAGTAGCCAGAACCTAACCTGCTGCATAAGTGGGGACCTCCTGTACATACTGAACCTCCTGCAAGTGCCGTTAGGCGGACATGTCCTTGTGTTTCAGAGTGAACTGCATCTTGGTTATTCCTATGACATGTATATTTTTTGCACATGCAATTGGTCTTGGCTGATCTATTTTCTTTCTTGCATTCCTGCTAGCTGTATAGCAGACATGCAGGAAGTTATTACCTTGGATATACCTTTGCTGCTGGTTTCTTTATTCATAGGTTTGAATTATCCCTTGATTTTACCAAAGGTAAAGTCGAGTTATCTAATTTCCTGCTCGTTGGCTTTCCTGCACCATGTGTATTTTGGTCATTATTTCTGCTCTAGCAACACCCCGTGCCCTTCAGTGCTGTATGACCCTAATAGGTTTAGTGCTTGATTTTGATTATAATAATTCCATTTCTGACATCTGGCACTTAAGAGGTGTAACCATGTACTGTGTATGCTCTTTAGCCAGAGTTTTCAAGAAAGAATTTTTTCAGTATACAGTGGACCCCCGACTTATGATATTAATTCGTTCCAGAAGGCTGTTCAGGTGCCATTACCGAATGAATTTGCTCCCACAAGGAATATTGTAAATTAGATTAGTCCATTTCAGACCCCCAAAAATACAGAAGCACTTACAAAAATACACATAGTTGTTTGAGTTAGGAGCTGTTCGTAAGTCGGGGGTCCACTGTATATGGGAGAATTTGTTTTGCTGCCAAAAGAACCTGGATTTGATCCTCCTAGCAGTAAATTTACCTTCAAATGTTAGTTTACTGTTGACTTACATCTCAGAAAGCCCTTCAAGGGAAGTGGGGGGGGGGTGCCTTGCTGCCAGCAGTGTTTTTGATCCAAGGAA